ATAATTATTGAATAGGACCAGTAAGGAATGCAACTATAGATGAGCAAGAGACATGTGCAACACTTGGGTAGCTTTATTGTAGAGACGTGTCGCCACGCAGTGGTTATATCAGCGGAAGATATGAAGTGGTTTTAGGTGATTAGTCCCTCAGCCTTGATGAATCTGGTGGTGACGGTGAAAGACATGAAAAGGCAGTTTAAGGTGGTAAGCCCTTAACAGGTAGGTAAGTCTTAATAGATGTTCAGTTCAACTGTCTTTATGAATATGAAGTAGAGCCCCTTGACTGGAGACTTCAATACTGGAGGCAGGAAGGGTGAAGCAGTTTCGAGACGATATCCCAGGTGGGCAGAGTCCACTAGTTGATATAGATCATGTCAGTAAGTTAGGCAAACGTATGAGTTGATTTCTCTGCACTAAAGTTTCGAGATAATGTTGTGTCAGCAGTTTAAAGACGGCATCACACCGGTGATGCCGTCTCTAAACTGCTTCACTTCTGTTAATAGTAAATAAATCCCCTTCCACGGACATCTACTTTAGAATTATCAAGACTGATAGACCTAACACGTCTCAAGGTTGAGGGACTGATCACTTCGAAATACATCTTCACATCTCCCACTGTCCTCAACAGATTCATCAAGGCTGAGCGACTGATCACCTCAGAATACTTCTTCACGTCTTCAGCCGTCTGCAGCACTATTCTCTGTATACGACTGACAAAGTCACTGGTTAGCGAAATGTTTCAACAATAAAAGTACCCACATGTTGCACATGTGTGTAATTCATCTACTTCTGGGGTTTGTTTACTATTAGTAAGGAATACAGCTCTCAACACCAATTAGTAATTCCGACGTTAAAAATGCTGCTTAGAAAGTGTCATTACCACTGAAGAATAAATCTAGACTATCTACGGTTATCTTTAGCACTGGTTAGTTTAGCACAGGTTAGGTTAAGTCGGGTTTAGGTTAGTTACATTGAGTAGTTTTAGGATTGATAAATATCTAACCTAACCTAACCTAATCTAACTTAATACAACCTAAAACAGAAACAAAAATCTTTTATCAGCATTTGCTAAACCCACTTAATAGTGAACTGTGAATACATTATCCTCAAATTATTATTATTATTATTATTATTATTATTATTATTATTATTATTATTATTATTATTATTATTATTATTATTATTATTATTATTATTTAATGGGGCTTAAAGCCTATCGACTACGTTGCACAGTAACCTTTTCACCATTAGACAAGAACACTTTAATTCTTAAAATAGGGTTTAATTCAAGTTAACCCGCAGCATATACAGAGAGCAACACACCTCTCAGGGAATATATCCTCTGTTGTTTTTGTTGCTGTTGTTATTTTTAGGGGTCATAAAGTAAAATGAAAAGGTGCCACTATAGATAATTCATGGCGTTCATAGTTACATGTCACCATTCATAGATGAGTGTCACCATTCATGTCATGTAACTTAATGAGTGTCACCATTCATATATGGTGTCACATTCATGTGCATGTCACCATTCATAGATGAGTGTCACCATTCATAGATGAGTGTCACCATTCATAGATGAGTGTCACCATTCATAGGTACATGTAACCATTCATAAATGAGTGTCACCATTCATAGATGAGTGTCACCATTCATAGATGAGTGTCACCATTCATAGATGAGTGCCACCATTCATAGGTACATGTCACCAGTCATAGATGAGTGTCACCATTCATATAGGTATGTCACCAGTCATAGATGAGTGTCACCATTCATAGATGAGTGTCACCATTCATAGGTACATGTCACCATTCATAGATGAGTGTCACCATTCATGAGTACATGTCACCATTCATGAGTACATGTCACCATTCATAGATGAGTGTCACCATTCATAGATGAGTGTCACCATTCATGGGTACATGTCACCATTCATAGATGAGTGTCACCATTCATAGGTACATGTCACCATTCATAGATGAGTGTCACCATTCATGGGTACATGTCACCATTCATAGATGAGTGTCATCATTCATAGGTACATGTCACCATTCATAGATGAGTGTCACCATTCACAGGTACATGTTACCATTAATAAGTAAACGTCACCATTCATAAATACGCTTCACCATTCATAAGTACGCATCACTATTCATAAGTACATGTCACCATTCATAAGTACGTGCCACCATTCATAAGTACGTGTCACCATTCATAGGTATATGTCACCATTCATAAGTACGTGTTACCATTCATTAGTACGTGTCACCATTCATAAGTACGTGTCACCATTCATAAGTACGTGTCACCATTCATAAGTACGTGTCACCATTCATAAGTGCGTGTCACCATTCACAGATATATGTCACCATTCATAAATACGTGTCACCATTCATTAGTACGTATCACCATTCATAAGTACGTGTCACCATTCATAAGTACGTGTCACCATTCATAAGTACGTGTCGCCATTCATGTGTCACCATTCATAAATACCTGTCACCATTCATAGGTGAGTTTCACCATTCATATGTACGTGTCACCATTCATAGATACACGTCACCATTCATAAGTACGTATCACCATTCATTAGTACGTGTCACCTTTCATAAGTGCGTGTCACCATTTATAAGTATGTGTCACCATTCATAAGAACGTGTCACCATTCATAGGTGAGTGCCACCATTCATAAGTACGTGTCACCATTCAAAGGTGAGTGTCGCCATTCACAGATACACGTCAACATTCATAAGTATGTGTCACCATTCATAAGTGCGTGTCACCATTCACAGGTGAGTGTCACCATTTGTAAGTACGTGTCACCATTCAAAGGTGAGTGTCGCCATTCACAGATACACGTCAACATTCATAAGTATGTGTCACCATTCATAAGTGCGTGTCACCATTCACAGGTGAGTGTCACCATTTGTAAGTACGTGTCACCATTCATAGGTGAGTGTCGCCATTCATAGATACGTGTCACCATTCATAGATGCGTGTTACCATTCACAGGTACGTGTCATCATTCATAGGTACATGTCATCATTCATAGGTACGTGTTATCATTCATAGGTACGTGTCGTCATTCATAGGTACGTGCCACCATTCATAGGTACGTGTCATCATTAATAGGTACGTGTCATCAGTCATAGGTACGTGTCACCATTCATGTCCTTCTGACATTTTATCATTGGATGTGTCGTAAAACTGTGTGTAATCAGGCAGCTTTGATTGCACAGGTCGAATCTCAGCTCCTGGCCCCAGGTCTTTTGCCTGTTATTGTGAACACGTTCGATTGGTTGGTTAATGGGACTTAAGATCCAAGGAGGATGAGGGGGTAGTGAAGTGAAACTGTCAAATTGGTGAATCATCCTCAGAATCGTTGGATTTTTGTGTGGAACGTTGAGAAAGACGTGAGGATGTCATCCACACGTCGTCAGGATGTGAGGATGTCATCTTCACGTCCTGCCATGAAGGTTGACTGAAAAAAATAAATAAATTGGAAAGAAATATTTTTTTCGTTATGACTACACTGATGAAGAATTTACACAACATTGGGAATATCAATATTGGGAATATTAATATTGGGAATGTCAATATTGGGAATATCGATATTGAGAATATCAATATTGGGAATATTAATATTGGGAATATCAATATTGGGAATATCAATATTGGGAATATCAATATTGGGAATATCAATATTGGGAATATCAATATAGGGAATATCAATATTGGGAATATCAATATAGGGAATATCAATATTGGGAATATCAGTATTGGGAATATCGATATTGGGAATATCAATATTGGGAATATTAATATTGGGAATATCAATATAGGGAATATCAATATTGGGAATATCAATATAGGGAATATCAATATTGGGAATATCAATATAGGGAATATGAATCATGGGAATATCAATATTAGGGAATATCAATATTGGTAATTCAATATTGGGAATATTAATATTGGGAATATCTAGAGTGCTTTAGGTAAGATTTATGGGCTCAAGTAAAGTCCAGCTGACGTTATTACAAAGACAAAAATAGAATATAACATTATACAAGGTTTTGAAACACCTTGTATTATCCTCCCCAAAAATATCTGAAGTCTTTTGTTTCTTTTGTTTTTCCCTAAAAAAAATAATTAGTAATTTCCTGCTTTTGCCTTTGTAATAACATGACACAGGTTTCACTTGACCAAGTAAACGTGGTTGTAAGTGTGCCCATAACGAAAAAATAATTATTTTTTTTATTTTTTTTATCTTCGTTGAACTGCTAGGATGCGACCCTCGCGTCTCTCTCAACTTTTAAGACAAACTATTCTTACTATTTTTACCCAAGTTGTTGTTTCCGCCTAACCACCTTAAAGCCAACTGATCACACGAGGGTCATTAAGGCTGCATATTACTTATTTACCACCAGACAAGAATACTTTAATCCCTAACATAGGAATTAAAACAAACTCTCAGCATATATACACAGAGGGACATACACTGCACGGTTTGTATATCCCGAGTGAGGTTTTCTTTTTTTACCTGTGCGTTTGTACGTGCGTCCTTTTTTTTGTGTTGCAGTGTGCACATTATTATGCCTAAGGAAATATAATACAATATATTATTTTGTGTACATTCAGGAACAATGAGTTTTCTACGAATTCAATTTTTTTTCTCTATATTAATTTCACCCAATGTAATGACATTCCTCTTTATGTAGTAGTATATGTTATAATTAACAAATTATAAAATTTATCTAGTAATTAATTTTCTTGTTTATATTTTAGTAACATATACGGATTATACATACATACAAATATTTAGAAATACAAATATTTAGAAATATATCCAATTAGATTGTTATTATGTTTGATTATATTAAAAATACACTAAACCCGTATGGTTCATAGAAAGCTCATTGAACAGAGGCAAAGTAATAGTGTTATCACATAACCTGTATACAACAGAACGAGACAAATTAACCGGCTCCATTCTTTCCAGGTTGGAGAAGTGAGTTGCAGCTGGTGGCGCTGGAGGGAACTGTTCCATTCGTGTGTTCCAGGAGGAGGGCTGCTTCCTGGAGCAGCCAGAAATGTCAGTGGTTGTCGGCAGACGTCACACTCCCGCTCCGTCTTCTAGGAAAGCGCTTATGCACCTTTTGGCTGGTAACACACAAAGAGACGGAGATGGTTAGTAGACTGCCTTGACGGACGGCCAGTGTTGGTGGGTGGTGCTGATGGTGAGCCGTTTACTCATGTTACTGCAGGTGTTGCTCCGGGCTCATTCAGTGTTCCTTGTGCATAGGTGTTACGGTGCCTTTCGTACCCGAAACTCATTCACTGCTCCACATATACAAGTGTTACCGTGCCTTTATCGAGAGATTGAACCAGTGATCACTGCTACACTACTGTATCTTTGTAACGCGACAATCATCGTATATATTTATCGCGTGAGTGTTACCGTGTCTTCAGTCTCCGGAAGATTATGCAGTCTCCTCAGCGCATTCGTGCTGGGGGCTAAGCTGTCCCCGGCGGTCGATGGCTGGGGTGAGTGCATGTCACTAAGTACGTCAGTAAGTGAAGAGCCAGCCTAGTGAGCCACACACTCACCTGTGTTAAACACAACAGTCTTCCCTCCAACGTCAAGAACTTGGAATTATAACGACACGCACCTTTAGTTAAGTAGGCGAAGCGACAAGACAAGCAGGGAATCAGCAGATGGACCTGTGGAAGCCAGCTGGTCGCAAGGCGAAAAAAGTAAGTAGATTACACGTTTTATATATTTTTTTGTCCAGTATATCGCGCTGATGCATTTTTAATAGTTATTATTATGACGCGTTACATGCTGCTACATACGTAGCAGCATGTAACACTAAAATAACGTATGTTAGCTTATATATATATATATATATATATATATATATATATATATATATATATATATATATATATATATATATATATATATATATATATATTAGCACACGTAGTGTTATCATGTTTGCACACACCATGTTAAGCATGCTTCTGCAACTAATTTTTCTGGTTATACACAGTATTTTTGGATATCTTGTGGTGGTGGTGGTAGAGGAAATTTATTCGTCAGGAAACGGCACAGCGCCTCCTAACGCGGATTTTGCTTAGAGGATGACCCTTAACTAGTTGGGAAACATCGACGGGCTTACCGGAACTAGATTTTACACCTCGTTCATAAATGAGAAGATCACTGCATAGTGATGAATCTTATGATGATGGTTAGCCATGTATAAAAAGATGTTTAACTGATATTATAGCCTAGTACGACATAATTTATTACAATTAAGAATGAAATTTATATATATATCGCCAGTTACAACTGCAAAAATTAATTTTTTGGCAAAAACAATATTTCTCTTCGTCTCCCCAATAAATTATAAGGTTCTCGTTCTTACCTATTATACTGGTCAATTTTGTTCACAATTTCTCCTTGGTTTCTTTTCAATATCACATAGATGTTCTAGTATTTTCAAGTAAACGCCGTGAAACATGATTGTTTCTATGTACTAATAAGGTATCCTCGCCTAGGTTGTCAAAGTTTGTTTCCTTCCCAATCAATTTGGTTTCCACGCGATAACTTGAGGATGACTTTACTTTGAATTGATACACTGATAAATTAGTGTATACCAAGGGCGAAGATTTCAATAGTAATTGAGTTGTGTAGCCTCTTGGTGGAGGACTTGAGAATATAATACTCGTGTGTTGGCCAAGACATGTGTGTACATTCAAGGAAGAAGCAGATTACGATCTTCGGCTCTCAATTAGTATTTTGAGGAAAATAACACGAAATGAACTTCAGTCGAACTTCGATGACTTGAGACTGATGGAAACAGACACCAGTCATTCTACCTATCATCACTATCATGCAGGAGGAGCCACATGTCTATGGTGCATCCAACAAATCAGCAGACTCTTGGATGTCATGACCGCCCGGCTCCAGCTGGGATACCAGTATCTTGGAGAGGTTGTGTCAGCATCACCAGCTGATGCTGGTGATGTGACTATTGTCACACTTGGCGCCATTATGTGCTGCACTGAGATGAGACAGCTCACTAAAAAATGTTCAAGAAATGTCAAAATATTTTATCCACAGTAGCATTGCAAACTATTCTGGAAAAAAATACCCTGACTTTTGATTTTTGTAAATAACTCATAACCACTTAAACTTGTTTAAAATCTAATATAAATGTAAATAATTGAACCCACATATAAGCTACACTAATATTTTTGTGACTTAATTCATGTCTGTATAAATAACTCGTACGATTGTAACCAGATATAAACATGTACAACAGTTCATTACCACTGTAATGAAACTGGTGCTCACTCCCTCGACCCATTTTGTACATCTGTAATCTTAAGAAAAAAATGAAAAATTTTGGAAAAGAAATGTTTTTTTTTACCGAAAAATAGTGCATAATTCTGGTAACATATTGATGCAATCAGCTTATTTCTATCATATTTCTAAGTATCTTTTTCCAAAAATGTAATTTTTTTTTGTTCTTGCTGTCATCAAGAGGACATGATGCCAATTCGTGTTTTTTTTTACACCAAAAATTTCGATTTTTTATTGTTTTATTCCAAATATGGTACACGGCATGTTAACTGTGGACTACATATTAGTACTCAAGAGTGAGAACTGCTCGGTCGCCTGCGGGCTGCCGACGAGTGAGGATATATAATGTGTGCAAACATTTGGTGCGTCGTGACCGTAGAGTTCTACAGAAAACTTAATTTGTCTTTTACTCAGGAATACATTATTGATCTTTTCCTTCCGTTTTTTGTGAAAACTATAGGAGTGTTATGATTTTTGCATTTGTTATTGAGGAATGATGATTCTACTCGTTGTCATTTGGGGTTTGCGATATGTTTTACCGTGTTATTTTATTGATTTCCCCCCCAAACATACTTAAAAAAACAAAAACAAAATCAAACTTCAACATTTTTTATTATGCAACCTAGTGGCATTTCGTTCAAAAGTTCGTTGTTAGAGGATTATCTAACCATTTATCTTTCATCTAATGTTAACTATAACATTGTATGTCTTACCAATTTTGTACAGAATACAGAGGTTTATGCCCTGTAAAATAGGGCACTATTTTATTTTTTTTCTACCCCTCAAGGACGGTTCCTTGATGCTGGTGAAGGGCTCTTGATCCAGGGAACTAGAGCTGTGCTCCGGTTCCCTGAATTAAGCCTGAATACCTTCCACCCCCACAGGCGCTGTACAGTCTTACGGGTTTTACGCTTCCCCTTGATTATTTTTTTTTCTATCTTTTAAGGCAAAAAGTCACTACAGACACAGTGTGCAGGTTTCAGATGCTGCTTAAATCACATTAAAAATTTCATTAAAATTGGATAATTTGAAAAAAAAAAAAAATTTTAGCCTCCCTCCCTTTAACTGCCACCCACAGGCTGGGTATGGAGTGCTTAATAAAAATAACAAAAAATAACAAAATAACAAAATAACAAAGCTTCACTAAACTCACTGTAAACATTGCCTGACCTCGGTGAGTTGGTGAGCTGGTGAACTGGTGAGCTGGTGAACTGGTGAGCTGGTGAGCTGGTGAACTGGTGAGCTGGTGAACTGGTGAATTGGTGAGCTGGTGAGCTGGTGAGCTGGTGAACTGGTGAGCTGGTGAGCTGGTGAACTGGTGAGCTGGTGAGTTGGTGAGTTGGTGAGCTCGTGAACTGGTGAACTGGTGAGCTGGTGAGCTGCTCTTCATAACTCAGCTAATATTATGGTAGTTGTCACTATCTAAAAAAAGGTCTTGCAGCATATATATATATATATATATATATTAATATATATATATATATATATATATATATATATATTATATATATATATATATATATTATATATATTATATTATTATAATGTCGTGCCGAATAGGCAGAACTTGCGATCTTGGCTTAAATAGCAACGCTCATCTTGCCATATAGGATAAGTGAAAATTTGTGTATGCAATAATTTCGCCAAAATCATTCTGAACCTAACGAAAAAAATATATTTCACTGTGTTTGTTTAGTATTAAATTACTGTAAACAAATCTAAAATATATTTAGTTGGGTTAGGCTAAAATAAATTTTGCTTCTCATAATAAGGTTAGGTAAGTTTTCTAAGTTCCTTTTGGTGCAAAATTAAAAATTTTTACATGAACATTAATGAAAAAAATATATCTTTAAACGTATAAGAGAAAATTTTAGGAAGGACTTGATTTTAAATGAGTTCTTGCTAATTGACCGAATATGTAAAACTGGTCAATTAGCAAGAACTCATTTAAAATTAAGTCCTCTCTGAAATTTCTCTTATACATTTAAAGATATATTTTTTTCATTAATGTTAATGTAAAATTTTTTAATTTTGCACCAATAGAATCTTAGAAAACTTACCTAACCTTATTATAACAAGAGCAATTTATTTTAGCCTAACCCAACTAAATATATTTTAGATTTGTTTACAATAATTTAATACTAAACAAACACAGTGAAATATATTTTTTTCCGTTAGGTTCAGAATGATTTTGGCGAAATTATTGCATACACAAATTTTCACTTGTCCTATATGGCAAGATGAACGTTGCTATTTAAGCCAAGATCGCAAGTTCTGCCTATTAGGCACGACTTTATATATATAATATATATATATATATATATATATATATAAATATTTTAATATATATATATATATATATATATATATATATATATATATATATTATATATATATATATATATATATATCCGGGGAGAACCTTGAGTTTTCCCTGAGGTACGTTTATTGTCTTCTCTGAGGATGAGTGTCCCCAGTCCAGCCATAGAGGTGGTACTTCCTTATATATATATTTTATTTTTTATTATCACACCGGCCGATTCCCACCAAGGCAGGGTGGCCCGAAAAAGAAAAACTTTCACCATCATTCACTCCATCACTGTCTTGCCAGAAGGGTGCTTTACACTACAGTTTTTAAACTGCAACATTAACACCCCTCCTTCAGAGTGCAGGCACTGTACTTCCCATCTCCAGGACTCAAGTCCGGCCTGCCGGTTTCCCTGAATCCCTTCATAAATGTTACTTTGCTCACACTCCAACAGCACGTCAAGTATTAAAAACCATTTGTCTCCATTCACTCCTATCAAACACGCTCACGCATGCCTGCTGGAAGTCCAAGCCCCTCGCACACAAAACCTCCTTTACCCCCTCCCTCCAACCCTTCCTAGGCCGACCCCTACCCCGCCTTCCTTCCACTACAGACTGATACACTCTTGAAGTCATTCTGTTTCGCTCCATTCTCTCTACATGTCCGAACCACCTCATATATATATATTACTGTAACCACGAACAAGTGGTATTTAATCAAAAACAACACTGTGGCTAGCCGGAGGATCGATGCCGTGTTGTTTTAGCCCGCTTCATGGCGAGCAAAAAATCACGACGCTCTAAACCACTGGACCATACAATCCTACAAACAACTTGAGCCTAGCGAACCAGGCTTGCTTCAAGTTGCGAAGACATACGATGATGTGGTTGCCCCAGAAAGCCCAAAGAAGCTTAAAACAAGTTGGATCCGAACGTCTCTTTTCAAATCATCTTTGTCGGAGTACGTGTACAGGTTAATGATGCAGCCCAAGTGGATAACCGAGCGAAACTCCAGAGTGTAAATGATACAAACATACTCGCCTTAATACGTGCTGTGGTATAGTCATCTTTCCTCCTC